AGGATTTTATCCCGCTCCCACCTGCAGGACAGCCAAGCCGAGCCCTTGTGCTTCTGGCAGCCCTGCCGAGCTCCCAGCGGCACAGACGGAATTCCCTGCGGATCCCGGGGCTCCAGGGGCAAACCCAGCCCCACACCACCCTCCAGACACTCCGCCAGGCAGAACCAGTGCGGACACACGGGGTTTTTCATGGCAGGGCTGGAAGAGGTGATCTAAACAGCGTCATTTCACCATCAAGAGTAGCAAAGTACTCTGTGAGAACTAAGTTTTGTCGAAGTCTCTTTCAAAAGCAATCCTGTAGCATTGCCGGTGGTACTGCTGAGATTTCCGGATTGTAAATTGGGCACGGATGAGCTACCCAGCTCCAAGAAGCCACCTAAGAGAGCTGGGGCTGGAAATAGCTGATTTCTTTGTAAGGACACAGTATCTACTGGGATRTTTTCCTGACTGTGAAGGGCTGGGGTCGGGAATCACAACCTGTGAGAGGGCACAGRCTGCCTGGGAATCCTCTCACACACACCTGATGCCCGAAGCTGTATCTTACAGGTACCATTTGCTACGAGTCACCTGGAGATAGAAAGACACCTGAGAGTTCGTTCCCTTTCCAGTTATAGAGAGAGGAAAACAAGATGCCATTAATAATGACCTGCTAGATAAACACCAGCCTCTTCCTCCAACAGGTTCATCTGCCTGCACCTTGATTTATGCACCATCACAGGCCTGTCTCTCCTACCTGGTTCCACAAGGATTTCCACCTTCTAGCATGAAGTTTCAAATCACCAGCTGGTGTTTTAATGGAACAGAGCCCCCACACAGGACATTTCCAGCCTTTCTGATGTGTCCCCAAMACACACCTTGCACCAGCCTTTTGTSACCTGGCAGTTACCAGCACGATCCCTCTCTCAGCTTCCCWAGAGATGAAAATCCTCACAGTTCTTAGATGGTGCAGAATCTCTGTGCTTTTCTAGCCCTACCCTCTTCACCTTACTGCCTTGCAGTACCATGAGCTTACAGGGCATTGGCATCTTTACAGAGCTGGAAGTGATTTCCCCATTAGAATACTCATGAAACTACATCTGCTTGGGAAATACTGTAAAAATTTTAAAAAGAAAAAAAACAGACTACAGTGATGTCTCACCTTATAAAGATGCTTGTCTGGGGTTGAGATCTCATCTTGCAAGGTGCAACCTGCACGGGAATTAAAGGCAGACAGGCAGGGCAGCCAGTTCTTTAATGACTTGTAACCAGCTCTCTGTAAGCACTGTCAGCTCCTCGCTGCTGGATTAGTGCATGCTTGACAGGATTGCCAGAGCAAAAGAGGCAATGAAACACTGCCATTTAATCAGGCAGGATATACAATTACAAGGCAGCTCAATGATCCTTATTTGTCTCAATTTTAAAAGCCAGAATTGCCAAAAAAAAAAGCTCCAAGTGAAGTGCCAGCTCAGTTCACAGAAAGACTTTTCATCACATTTCTGTTCGAGCTACCAAAGTGTACAGAAATGCCAGATGTCACAGGGAGAGACAGTGTAGCAAAGCCCATAAATATTCAAAATTATTTTTCCAGGACACATTTGTGATTCATAAAATGTGGAACTAACTATAATGAATTTCAAATGCAACATAAATGTTCAAATACAAGATATTCCTCTGTGCTTCCATAATGCTTTAACGTGTATGTCTGGGCCGTATAAAGCTGGTGTTTAACTTGCAAAAGTGACTAAACTCCCAGTCTTTTGACTAAAATACTGAATAAAAAGTAACAATTGCAGTTTCGATGTTTTTCTAGTGTTATCTTCCTGTTGTGTGCACATAGGTGCTGTGAAAGGCTGCAGTAGGTAGAACTGTTCTTGCAAGGGTGAGGGAGCAGGTAACTTTAAACAATTTTCAGAGACCAACAAAAACTTTTGAATGAAGAATCTCTCAAGGGGGATGAACTTCATCTGACAGATACCTGTGTGAAGTGAGTGAAAAAAAACCCCCATGTTTGTTCCACAACACCTGAAATGTGGGAACATTCAGCAAGATTTCAGGTACAGACCTTTTCCATCAGGCACAGGTGGTTTGGTAGAAGGCAGAACTGGGCTGCAGCATCACTCCTGGGACCGGTGGGGCTGAACAGCATCTTCCCAAACCTCTCCTGTGACCAYACAAGTCCATGCAATTCCCACCCCTGCCCCCAACAGACTGAGAATCCCTGCTCCAGCTACAGTCTGAAAGATAAACTCCTTGCTATGACTAACTCAACCCCTCCTCTCTTTCCCAAATCATATGTGAATAATTGTCTTAACTGTGTCAGGAAAACCTCTCAGGAGACGGAGAGTCTCCTCTTCTTGGAGATGCATGGCATATTTTTGCAACAAGTCACAGATTCTTGAGCAGGCAGATACACAAAGGTGATTTAGGACAAATGGAGAAATACAATCAGACTTTGTAGTGCATTGAGAGAATAGCTCTTTCAAAGAATAACCTACAGTATAATTATGATCAGTGTTSTAGTATTTGTTAAAGAAAATTCTGATTGACAAATAGATCTTGCACAAATACGGTCATTTGATTTGAATTACATTGTGTGAATTCATATTTTAGGTCTGCTGTTAAAATTATTAATAYTAGGTCAGCTGTAATTGAGCAGGCCCTGGATGGGTGATTGTGTGCAGTTCTTGGAAAAGAACAAACTTCAAAACCACAGACATCTCTTTCCAAACAGAGTCTTTCAAGAACTCAGTACTCTATATATTGCACTGAGCAGTGCTAAGTCCGAGGATGAGCTGGAAGAACCCACRTGCAGAAGCACAAACACAGGCGTGAGCTGGGCTGCCACGTTCAGAACTGGACTCTACATGAACACAAGTGCTAATGAAACAAACCAAAATGATAACTTCAAAATCGTTTTTTTCCCCCCACATGGATATGTTTAATGAGCTTAGAACCTCCACTCTTCATTTTTGCCARGACAGAACAAACAGTGCTTAAACTGCTTTCTCTGGAATTTGGTTTTGTTAGAGAATATGCAATTGTTTTAGTATCTTCTCACAGCACTTTTATCACTTCTCTCTTAGGATTACATTAACCAAAAACCCCACAAAGGTAACAGATGTAGAGTCTGCTTTCACTTTCACAAACAGAAAAAATATTATTGAGAAGAAAATTTCAAGAGCACTTTAATATACAGAATGAGTGGGATAGATGTGTGGGGCTTATTTTAAAGAGACAGCCTTTATTTAAAGWACTTTGCTTTGTAGATCTTATAAAGTAAACATTACAATACTTTTTTTCCCACAAATATATTAAAATTGTTTAAATTTAAAAGGCAATTCCACAGACTGATGGATATTTTTAAAGAAAAAAAATTAACAGAAATAGGCAGCTCAACTAAAACTAGATTTTAAACATTCTGTTTTGTCATTTCATCTTTAAAAAAAAAAAGAAAAAAACCACACTGTACACCCAGACTTTCTTTACAGCAATAAGGCAACTCCAGGAGATTCGGATGAGCTCCTTGGAGATTACAGATACTGTAACTGGCTGCTCCTCATGCTTTAAAACACCCAAAGGTGCAACTATCAATTAATCACAATCACATCTGTGCATTAAAATATAAAACTTAAATTACAGATTTTAAAAATATTACTAATAGACTTCCCTATCATAGCGTTTTACATTTACAGTACTTGAACTATTTCAGTTCTGGGTTGATGAGGTTTAAGCAATTTACCACTGCAAGAGTTAGACTCTGGAGCTCACAAACAGCACAACCCAACCAGGGGCAGCGATAGTCGGTAGAGTCATAGTGCAAATCAAAATAAGGAGTGCAGAATTGCACTAATTGTTTACAAATCTAAAATATAAATGAACAAGACGRGCTCTTATATTGTACATGCAATAAATTACAGTAAGCATATGGCAACGGGGCTGGGGCATCCTACAAGTGTAGCTGGTGTACCAGAGCTGAAGCCTGTGAAAGATAGGACTCAGTAAACAAAACATTTCAAAGCTCTGTTGTCACAGCACTTGAACTCTGCTTTCATGCTTTGTACTTCTGCTTCCCCGTCTCGCTGATCACACAGATATGCTGAAAYGAAATAAAATAAAACAAAACGCTCCTGTTAGTAACGTAAGAGACCAACATTTGACATCAATAATGAGCTTCTGAAAGCAACACAAGTGTGCTGTACACACTTCAGGAGGGAGAATCTTGTGACACTGTTTATGCTGAAAAATGTAGGCCTTTTTTTGGTCTAAAAATCTCCACATTGCCTTCCTTCTCCTCTCCTAATTGTCCCACCCAGTGTCTGCTGGGTCTGGTGAGACCTGGATGAAGAAGTACTGATAAAAATAGTAAAATTTCTTCCCAGGTCTCTCTTCTTTAAGTCTTACTTAACTAAGCAAATGCACTTATTTGTTGCAGACATCTGGTGAGGCAAGAAACCTCACATTTCAAAGTTGAGAGCTGTGCAGCCTCCACTCTGCATGCAGCAAAATAAATTTTAATTTCATCAGAGCTCTCGGGCTTGTTCTCATCACTGRAACACGAGGCATGATTTACAGAACAGGGAGAATGATGTGAGGAGATTTCCCTTCCTTCCTCCTCCCCAGTTTTCAATGGAGAAAAACATACGGGAAAAATTACTTACGTTCAAATCTCTAAAGTATTCATTGTAATCTAGGGCGTATCCCACAACAAATTTGTCTGGCACTTCAAATCCAACAACTGAAAAAGACCATAAGTCACCAGTGTGTTACAAAAGAACTTCCTAGAGTTCACCAGACCTTTTTACAGAGACAATCTGGAATTTTAATAGATATAAATTGTAACTCATTTTGTTTCTTCCATTCAGATTCTTCCACTCAGAAGTACYCTCAGATTAATATTTGAGCTATTTTATAATTTTAACTTACTTTGTTGATTTATCATCTAAGGGAAATTAAATAGATGGTTCCCACACAGCTACCTGCTGCTAGTCTGCAAGAAATGAATGGAACCTCTTAAATTTACTGAYAGGCTATTATTATGAGAATGCAAAATTCCTTGAAAATGTCCTCTGGCTTTGCAAATACATAGAGAAACCAATCCTTCCTGGCACTTTCTAGATACCTGACATACCAGTGGAGCAGCAGTGGACTGGTGAGCACAACACAAATCCCCCTCACAGCTTTATTCTTGGGTCAGCACCTCTGGGAACTGGAGCTGTACCCCCAACAGGGCTGCAGGAGGGGTCATTTGCTGGTTTCAGAAATAGGTGTGGGTTGGCYGCTTTGGATTTGGTTTTGGCTTTTGTTTGTTGTGTTTTTTGTGTTTGGYTTTACTTTTTATGTCCCAGAAAATCTGCCTAAAGAGAGGACATCAACCATTCCAGATTGTCTGAACAGCTCTAGCAGGACACTTTGTGGTGGTCAGGCAGTACCAGTCCACCCTGTCTTCATATACTATAAAATGACCAAAAATAATTAAATTATCTAAAATATAAAATTTCCAAAGGGTTTTCYCCCCTCATGCTAAAATGAAAGACTACTGAGTATGGGAAAGCTGTGTCATTTTCCTCTCCCTGGCTACCATGAGAAAACCAGGTAATTTGTGCAATACAAATAAAAGGTTGTGTGCACTTCTGGAAAAATTAAGGTGATRTTTAGCACTTACTGGGCCTCACAATACAGGGATAAAACGRAGGCCCAGCCTTTGCTGCCTTGTTGTCCCTCAGAGCTCACATGTCCCACTCTGGACAGGTTGTCTCTGGGGACAGATGGCAAAACAAGTCATCTGCTGCAAGATGCTCCAAAGGCACCATTAGCCCAGCTAAGCCTATAATGAGATCCCAGGAATCCTTGGGTGGGCATCCTTGGATGAGGGAAACAACTCCTTGAAGATCTGAGGTATTGAAAAGCTTCACTTTCAGAATACTGTATAACCTTGGAAAGGAGGAGAAAGAGGAGGCAATTCTTCTCCTAAATTCATCACTTCCATAATGAAAGTGACAGGAATTTGGCCTCTGGATCAGGGTTAAAMCCCACAGCCCTGCCCAAGGCAGGAGGAGCTGTCACTCTCTTACCACTGCTGTGGATGCTGTTCCTTCACTAATGGTCTTGGGACAGGCAGGAGAAGACAAGAAGGAGTAATTCAGATGCCCAGACATGACCAGTTTTGTGTCAACTCAGGCATCTTACCACTGTGAACATTTATCAGACCTGATACCCCACGTGGTCCTCCCACATTCCTGGGCACACCCAAACAGTGGTTAGATTTAGCACACAAATCACTCCCAAAAGTGTCAAAAGGTGAATCCAGCAGATTCCACCAGATGAAGCATTTGACTACATGCAAGATGGGAGAATTTCCACATGACAAACATGTAACCTAGACCAAAATTTGATTTTCAATATAGTAAAGTGTTACAAATGTTACAAAGCCTGATTGATTCCAAATATTTAAGTTATCTAAATAAGAGCAAAGTCTATCAAGAATCATTAGTGAAATTCCATTTGGGACATCCATGGACTTCAAGCAAAAGGTACACAACACATTTACATACTTTTAGAAATGGAAAATGGTTGTCAAGTCACTTACAGTCCGGCCGATATCCCACGCTTCGAGGAGTTCTTTTTACCAACAAACTGTCAAATAAAACCAGTGTAAAACTGAAACATCGAAAAGCACCAGGTACAAATATACCAGTCTGTTTTGATSACAGAGAAGCTGAGTTAGGCTTAAGAGTGCATAATTGACAACATAATTACACATATTTTAAACCATTATTTTACTTGCAGCTACAGATGATCATAGTAACAAAATCAAAACTTCCTAGAATCATAAATGGTTCACATTCTAAAGAATAACTAACAGGTCTGCAAGGAAAARGCTGGGAGATACTCATCTGGATGGATATTCACTTTTTATGTATGTTACGAACTTCAGGTGCAATTTGACTTACAGGTGAGGAGGCAACAATCTGGGATGTGGCCCAAGAAAAAAGCCCAACAAAAGCAGTTTTATGAAGCAAAAGTTCAGCAGCTTTCACGAGACCTCAGCTGCACTTGCGCAACTTGTCCTTAACTGACTTTCACTGGAAGTATTAATTACACCCATAAAGAAAAGGTTCTGATGACCAGGCGATACAAAACAGGTCCAGTTTTCAAGAATTAATGGTCAGAGGAGTAAAAAGCATGGTGATAAAGAGCTGTGGTAGAGAGAAATGCCCTGCTAGSTTAGTTTGATTTGCTCATCATTCAGTTGAGCACTTCTACCTCTTGTAAGACAACTCCAGAGGCCTGACATTTGTCTGTCTGGGATAGAGAGACTTAGGGAGGAAAGGAAAAGGAAGTTGGTGACTGAATGTGTAAACAGGACCAGTGTTAACTCTCTGAACTGAGCACAGACCCCTTCCCTCCTGGATCACTCCTCAGAGTGGGGCTTAATTTGCCACAATCACAGTTTTGATTCTAGTTTCTGAAACTTCTACTTGGGAGACTTGATTTCTGAGAACTGGTGTAGGATTTAACCACAGAAACCCAAAATCATACTAGTATTAGTTCACATCTCCCTACTACTATTGCCTAATTGTCTGAATAAACAAAAAACTAAAAATACCCCAAAACCCTAGAAAAAAAGACCACAAAAAACTCAACCCAATCAACACCAAYRACAAAACAACAACCAAAAAACTACCAAAGAATAATAGAAGAGAGAAGAGAAGCAACTAGGAATGTAAKACTAGCTAGAATAACTTTCCCTGCTCAGGTCTTTGGCAGACCCAATTTACTGCAACAGGTTTAAAAACCAGGAAATTGGTCTTTGCACATATTATATTTATGATTTATCACTGCAGTGTTACAACACTTCTCAGTGACACATATTTAAAAACTGGCCAGGGAGAAATCCACACCAGCCTCACCTTCAGCAGGTCACCTCCAGATAATCAGCAAGAAGAGCTGTTTGGTTAAGTCTAACAACTGCTTTGACATTGTTATGGCAACACAAGTGATTAGATATTACACCCAGCTCTGCTTTATCTCTAATCCCCAGCAATCATTATGCTTTTATTGGAAAATACACAACCACAGCATAGCAGCGCAACCGATGCAAATTAAAAAGAAGTAGGAGGAATGTTGATACTGGTTAATAAAACAATATTATCCTCAACATCTCKTGTTGGTTGCAAGTTATTTCATTATGAAATGTTTTGAAACTAATTGATTAAAGGTGTAACTAAGTAGAAAAGCCTGGCAAAGCATATGGCCGGGTGACTCTACAGTGACCTCTAAAGCTCAGCTGCACTAYGCTCACTATCCAAACATGAATGTGCTTGCAAACTAATTTAATTCTACAATTAAAAAAAGGAAAAATTGCATAGGTGCACCACTGCAGTACTTTGAAGCTGCAGACAGTGCCGGCAGAAACAAACATCTTTTTAGAAACACTACATACAGGCAAATGACAACCACTAATTTTTCTTATTCCCCCCCCCGCCCTAGTAAAAATCTACATTTATGAACCAAATTTGTGTTGAAAATTCCACTATCAACTTGAGAGGGTATTTCTTTTAAGACCAAAAGATTTACATTCTTTTAGATACTTCTAAGCTTGGACTTCAGTGGTAAAACCCCACAAACCTTACTATGTGATAGCCAATAGGTGTTCCAGGCATGTACAAGTTATCCCCTTCTGAAGCACTGTAGTTCTTCCAGCATAAGACTGGAAAGAGCAGTGGTTCCAAAAAGCAAAAGTCCTTTAGGAGTTTTAAACAAGCAGTAACTTCAACAGATCACATCACATGACTCCTGCAGAAATGTTCCCTCCTGTTTCTCTTCCAGAGAAATGTATTCTACATTTTCATGTCAGTTTAGGTTTTTCTAAACTGTGTGTCCTTCTTAAGGCAAAAACCAGAACAAATAATGATTAAACATTTACCTGGCTACTTTCACCATCTTTGGATTGTACTGCTTAAGTAGAGACAGCAACGTTTTCATTGTTTTACCAGTATCAATTATATCCTGAAAATAAAAACACTCATCTAAGACAGAATATTAAACATGTCAGAGAAGCATTTTCGAGTTTCCACCACAGAAATTGCTCATCCACAGCAGCATGAAAATATGGCAAACTACAGCCTGTAAAAATGCTCACAACCARATCCAGGTGACATGAAACACGGCGCTGGGCTTACGCAACCATGCTGGGTAAAGTAATCACACGCATTAACAAGAGTGCCTAATTGTTGTGGATAACCACGACTTTGTTGTGGATAACCATGACTTTGCAGTTACTGAAACAACCTTCTTGGCTCCTTCGGGAGATTTTACGGCTTATGCTCCTTGCAGCAATTGGATAATGTTTAATTCAAGTATGATAAGAGTAATAATGGTCTCACTGTTTAGCTCAGTTACAGAGTATTCAACAGGAAGAAAWGCAAGAAGGGGAAACTGCCAGAAAAATCCAGTATTGCAGTTAAAGAAAAAGGGACAGTCCTCGCCCTGGCCTAAAATCAAACCTATTTGAAGTGAAGGAGGCAGACAGCAATATCCTGGTTTCAGCTTATTTCCCTATGACTCCCAATTAAAACAAAAATCAAACAACAAACTCAACAGCTCACCTGTCAGCATTACCATTAACACTCAATGCTTTTAATCATTAAACTCCAGAGAAGCTAAAGATGTACAAGTATATAGATAAAAATCAATGTTAATAATCAGAAGTAGCTACTTCCATGCTTGAAGAGAAAAGCAGAAGCTAATACTGATTTTGTGTTGYGTGATGAGCTGTTTATTGGAGATGAATCTCTATTTTGTGCAGAATTTTTGGACATTAAAGGGATGCAGCTTTTCTATACTGCATCCCTTTAATGTCCAAAAAATTCTGCACAMAACAGTGCTCAAGACATTAAACCACAACAGATGTGCATTTTATCATTTGACAGTTAAAATGGTTATCAGTAAGAGTTCATATTTGACAGTGTGTAAGTCACTGGACAGATGATTCACCAAACAAATAAGAAACTAASGTAATCTGGGGATTACATTCATCTGAAATGGAGCAGATACATAATTAAACACTTCTGCCTATCTCAAGCAAAATATACTTCAAAGGAACCACTGATCACACAATGACTGCTGTATACATACAAWTTTGGTAGGAGATTTGGAACTGAATCTGCTTCCTGTAGAATAATACAATCTTCTCAAATTAAGAAAATAAAACATAAAAACACTTTTTTTAAGAGGAAACATCCTTCCCTTTGGCTGATGAATCAGCTGCAATAGCTGTCTCTGTGCTTACAAATATGCCATTTCCATTATTTGGAGCTGTAATATATTAGTTTGAACACCCACTTTTCCTGTGTACTGCTGCTGCTTCCCTATCCTGAAATTGTCAAGTGTACTCAAGGAAAGTTTTATTAGCTGAACATCAGCAACAGTGCTCATCAAGAAAGAGGCATGAAAGCAAGAATTAAGCAACAGCATCTACCAGGTAATCAAACTGAGCTGTACTGTACCTGGTATCACCCAGAGAACCATGACARGGCAGAGGAATGGGAATTTAGCAATTGCAAAATGCCCATTAAGAATTAGGATTCTCTGTGCCACTATTCTCTAAAAACACTACACACAGGTACAGTGGCCTTAGATCTGTTTTTCACATATTTTAGGACACTCCTACCAGGAACTCTTTCTGCCTCTGCAGTTTAGTCTCCTAGCTTGCTGTGATGCACCCAGAACTATAATATGCTTAAAAGTATGACTTTTTTCAGGCTCTTCTGAACAGAAAAAAAAAAAAAAGGGAAAAAACCTAGACATTTTAGGATTGACAAAATCGCAGAAAACTGAAAGAAAATACAAACAATTTTAGATGGATGTTTTCCCAGTTAAACACAGCAGTTGAATGCAATTTGAGAATTCAAAACACAGCTTAGTTCAAATTCAGAGATCACTTGCAAAATTCAGGACTGCAATCAGAAGCTGGAGGCCTTGAAAGCAGAAACTGTAGATTTTCTGGCTTAAGAACAACTTCTATTAAAACCCTTTTACCAGCCACACATTAGAACTTCAAAGAGAAACACAGTACTTACCTCTACGATCAAAACATTCTAGTAGGAAAAAAAAAGCAAAACAAATCCATTAGTATCCATAAACATACAATTTCTTATTAATCTTCCTAACTCATTTTCAGTGCAGCTAAATATTTGTACCACCATTTATGTATGTTTACACACGAAACAGCAACTGCTTCGTAGTTTAACATTTCTGATGCTCTAWTAACAATTAGCTGAGATTCTTCTCAACAGCTCATGTTAACTACAATTTTTGAATTATTCAGAYTTTGAAAATTCTGGGCATATGCAAAAGAGATCAAAGCACAGTCTATACAATTCCTATTCTTCTATAGAAGAGTGACCTGCTGCAGAGACATGTATAATTCTGTCATACCTACATCCTTTACACTGAACTGAGACATMCATGCCTTAAAAATCACATGTGTGTGAGGAGAGGGGGAAAGTGATGTGTTCTGACAGAGCAGGAGGCAGTGATGTGCTTTAGCCCCTGGCATGCGGCTCAATGATCTTCATAGACTCACTGGAGAAAAGCAGATTCCCAATTTACATTCTCCCATTTCCTTCTCTTGTCACTGCCTACTATCATGGGAACCTCCATTCCTGACCTGGGCTGCATCTCACCCATCTCCACAGTACACATTCCCACCACTCCTTCAGTGGAACACCAATACAGACACACAAAGAGCTTTACCTTTCCAGTCAAGGTTGAGAGGTCATCTCCCCCAATGACTTTGATATCTCCAGTTGACTGATCATTCTAAGAAAGAGGAGGGTGAACATTAGCATGACCGGAATTAAACTGATTTCCTTCTTGCAGTAAATGCCAAAACTGTGAAGTACACAACTAGTAAATGTTAAAACTTTCAGAAACATGGCACCAACAGCATCTCTCTATTAACAAAGAAATTACAAGTGATCAACTTCAAAGATGGCATTTCAGATTAAAGACTGTTTGACAACAGATTTGCATCAACACAGGCATCATCTCTCATCTACGACCATTATGTATACATTTTGTACCTACAAAACAAGGACTTACTATGCATTCTCTACAGATACAGAAACAGGATAAAAAGGTTTGGTTTCCAAGCTACAGGATGCTATATAGCTGGTAATTTACATTTTAAACATCATTGCTTTAGAAAATCTTACTCTGAATAAGAATAGGCAATCATAACAAGAATAGTCAGCAAACAAGCACTGATTACTACTTAGAACARTAAGCTACAAAAATAGCCAGAAAAACTTATGCTTCATTTACAAAAAATATTGGTAACAAATCCAATTACTTCTTATACAACTGAACAGCAACATATGCATACCATCACTACACTGCATTTTGTTTCAATAAATCTAAACTGTGATAAAAACATAAATGAACTGTTACATAGGAAAGTTAAAAGCAGCTGCTAGGAGTGCTTCACAAGTCTTTGTTTATTAAACTCACTCAACTGACTTTAAACCTGGACAGTGCCTCACAGCTCATACGAGATGTCATGTGCAGGTGCTGAGTTCCTGAGCAATGAAAGGGTGAAAAAACAGTTAAAGATTTCTGACACTGGTTATAACCAGACTTCCATTGGCAAGAACTTGGTTTAATAATTAAGCAACGTTTTAATTATSTTCAGGAACCTTATTTCCAAGTTCAGTACTGGTAAGACTTTAATGCTTCATGGTTTAACAYGTAAGAGTTTTACTGTTTAGATCTGTTTTCGCTGCCTCCCTGTTGTCACTGCTGGAAAACAATGATGTTTTACAAGATTGTAACTCCTGACTCAACTGACTCCAAGATCACCTTTTAAAGTGGCATTTTTAGTTCCTTACAGTATCTACTGTAAGGTTTGGTTGGCAGAGACCTTTCAGCCTAACCACAGTTTACCAYGTATTCCACTGAAAATCCCCTTTTTCCCAACACATTCACTTTTGGCTGCCCTTCATGACTACAAAAACAACGTTTGCTCATTTTCATGCTTAAATGCAGGAGATTGGTGAAAAGCCATTTTTCYTGTAACACAAACAGAATAAATTGTTTATCAAGAATACAGAGAGCTGGATCTGATCACAAACGCTATCTTTCCATTCTTAACAGCTTGCCAGATCACTAAAATTCATCTGTAAGGACTTGGAAAACTGGAGTTACAAGGAAAGTTTAATCATAGCTTGATCATGTCAGTATTAGAGAATTATTTTGGGTGCAGTACAGTATGAACTTTGCATTGCAACAGAAAAAAAACCCCATAAGCTTGTAAATATTAAATGATCGGTTTGAAACAAGAACAGTACTTCAATTACATCAATTACAGAACCATTACAAAAGTTCATCTGCTTCATTTATGCGATCAGGATATTTTTAACATCTTTTATCCAGTCTGTAAAGGCAGGCAGCAWGATCCAGTAATCACATCCAGAGACAACGACAAGAGAGTTGAAAGCTCCACTGTCCATTACAGTTTGTGATGGTTTTCACACCAATGAACACAGATCTCTTCATGTAGCAAAGCACAGATCAAAACTACAGAGCAGATTTAGCATTCTGACACTATTACTGATGGAAATCACAGACAAGCTGTTACATATGTGTTCATGATAGGATAATCTTAGCCAGTCTATCAAGTTATGCAATCTAAAGGACCTAAATTTGGATATTAATAACCACCTAAGTGAGTCTACAGAGGAGAAATGCTCGTGAATACTGTAGCAGAGGCATCATGTAACAGCAGCTCCTCACTCATCCAGAACAAGRAAACATTCTTTTATAGAACTGGCAGACAAAATCAAAAACCCTGAAGCCAACACCTCAAGGAAAACATTTGGCTTCAACACCTTTCTGTCTACATTTCTCTGCTTTTCTCCTCATCCACTTGTTTCTACAGTAAAAACAGGATTTTAGTTGCCATGAAATTTATTTCCTGCTCACTCCCCTATCAATATCAAGGCACTATCAAGGTAGTTTGGGGGATGAACAAAACCAATTGTAGTAAAGAAATGAACCAAAACACACCTGAGACACCAGTAAAAAGGCAGCCTTGCTTTTGAACAGGTGCTTTTTCCTGGTGTTTCAAACTATTTCTCCAGTATTTTTTTTCTGATTAGACAGCAGAGAGCATGGAAGTGTGTTGTCTTTACAATGACTTTTAAAATAAGCTAAGTATGTTATTTGAAGTGGTCCTTGGAGAAAGTAGAAGATACACAATTTCCTCTCCAAGAAAAAACAGGTGGAACTCATCATTTCCTATTTTTTAACCTCCTATTCTGTAATAGARACCTTCAGTTTTTCATGGCTTTTAAAGGCAGAATATATGGACACGTGTGGGCTTTGGGATGAAGTGGACTGGAGGCAGAAACCTCCCCTTTTGGGGAAGAAAAGAGGCTCAGACTACTCTCCCTCACTGATTTGAACACAGTGCACRAGCAGAGTGTCTTGTGAGATAAAACCAAAGGCCACATAATGAAATTAATGCGTCGTGCTCTGCAAATGTGAGTGTGGTCTCCAGGTAACCCCTGGACAGCAGCTGTGTGTGCCTCAGGCAGCCAGGGCTGCTTGTTCTGCAAAARGACTGCACCAAAGCCCCTCGCTGCTCTTGGCTTTGTCACTACACATTAATGGAGAGCTTGACAGGAATCATGGATTTATTAAGTTCTGCAACAGTCCAAMTAAGTCAGTAAATAACTCCATCTCAGGTTTCACAGTTCAATGAAACAAAGGATGAGATTGATTTTTTCAATTCAGTTATCTTTACTTTTTTTCTGCTGGAATAGGAACTGTTCTACAACTGTGACAAGTAACCCACAGTGCTGATCTCAATGCAAAGCTGCTGCTACAGGACCAACAGCATAACCTTGTGAAACAATATATTCAAACACCCTAAACTCAAACCAAAAAAATCATTATTTACATCTTATAGATGGTCTTACGGAAAAAAAAAAAAAATCCTGAAATCCCAAAAACATGACACTTGGCTGTCAGTAAGGCGTGAATCATACATCTGCTTCTTCCCCTGACCTGCATAATGCAACCCTGGACTTCCTTCYATAAAACCTAAAAGTTACCTTGTGTTACAGAATGTTCTGTTTCCCTACAAAACTGAATACTTGTGTTCAGAATCAAAATAAATTCTTTCCCCAAAAATGTAAACTCAAGGCAACCTATGCCATGTCTTGAAAAGGTAATGCCCCATTCAGAGGCCGTTAATCACAAATCTAGGTTTATGTATCTAATGTTTCCTCATGGTAAATACAACTAATTTTGTTCATTGTTTGGTTCAACCCAAAAAAAAAAAAAAAAGAGATAGGGAACTTGGATGTAACCRTTTCTGCAGCTTTCAAATCATCCTGTCCAAGAATGATGTCTGGGCCATATAAAAACTCCTGGAATTAAATTTTTGTAATAATAATTGCAGGAGAAWTCTCTGTATTAGTCTAGTGTCACAGCTTTAGAGATGGGGTAGAGGGCAGAGAGGAAATTTTGAGCACGTAGAGGACATGCAAAGGGTCTAAATAAGGATTTTACGGAGGTGAAGAGACAGCAAGGTCTAAGAGSAAACACATTATATAATACAGCAGAGAAAAGAGTAAATTGGCTTGTGACTCTTAATTCCCTTAATTATTTGTTTAATATTAGCATATTAGGGCAGTAACTATTAAACCGCCTCTGTTAATAATTTGTAGTCAACTTATTTAAAAATTGCACAGTACTGCATAGATACTTACACAGTAACTCTTCAACCTAATAAAGTCGACTGTCATGGGGATTGATTTGTCACTGTTTCTGTTCAGAGCTTTGATGTAGTCTAATAAATCAGCAAAAAATTTATAGCCACCCTTGAGTACACAAAGTGCCACAATGTGGTGTCCTCCCATGCCCTTCATAATTTCTCGTGCCAGTCTCTCCGTCCTAAACAAAACCAAAGAAGAGTGAGCTATCATAACATTTAATTCATTCATCATAGCAGCAGCGTTTGATACTCCTAGCAGCAGCAGCAGCAAACACATGGAGCAAACTTGGAAACACATTTTGCTTGGAAATATTTGCCCACCACTTCAGTCATTTTTACACATTACCGGTCAACAAAGTTTTGCTTTTCAAGGTTAATCCAACAGTAGCGCTGCCAAATGCGCTTGTTTTCCTACATCACAGGCAGCCAAAGCAAACCTTTAACACCCTGAAACTGTTCCACTGTCAGATATGAGACATAAAGGTGTGTTTTTGCCTTCCAAAGACAGGTTCAGCTTCCATGCAAACAGTAATGTAAGCTAACACAACCCCAAAGGCAGCAGCCCTCACCAGCTGACAACAAAAGCAAGAAAACTCTCAAATTGTAAACTGAAGAGTTTATGTTTACTTGCCAAATCAGAATGCCAGAAATTTGTCCTGAAAGCAGAACACAATACCARCAAGGCAGAGCAAGAGAACACTGCACCGTTTTGCTGCAATAATTGTTCCTAAATTTATCTTGCCATTTATTTTAGAAGGCATGGTGTGCATTTACTGTGTGCCAGCTGACAGCACATCTCTCAGAGAAAGCCAACCATTATAAACTTTACATCAGTTCCTTAATAACATGTATTTTGTCCAACTTTTTCCTCTATATGGACTTCCAATGTAAAGATTCAGTATTTAAAAATAAACTCTTTTTATAGGGATGTTCATTGCATCTAGTCAAACAGAACCATGCAAAAATCTAGATGCATTCCCACATCTAGTCACAAGATCCACCCAACACCACTTAAAAGGCTTAAATTCACTAAATCTGCTGTTCATTTGCTGTTCATTCTCTTAAGAAAATAAGCAACTTTCAAACACAAAGTAAAACAAAGATGTCTTGCAGGCTTATGCACCCATTTCTGGTCACACAAGATAAAACTCACACAGCACATCACAGATTTCAGCAACCACAGAAGTGACAGATTGATATTTGCAGAGGATAATATCTTTCTCAGAAGGAAGGAGAAAGTTGGATGTTATTTATCTACCACAAGAACATAAGGTCTAAAATTATGTGATATAATAATTTATTTTTATTAACATCTTATGGAAATTCAAGAGATTGTATTCTCAGACTGAACAGCTGCAACAAAACACCTTCTAGTTGGATTTTAAGAAGGGAAAACATCAAAGAAACACTGGAAATAAAGCTGTCAGCTGCTACATGCTGTAAAATTTCACTTGAGAATTACGACCAATTTTCAAAAAATAGCATGACTGAATRTGCAAACTCTTAGAAGCCAAAAAAAGATTAATTGTACATTCTAGTCTCTAATTAAATCTAATCTATTTAGACAGTCTTCAAGCAGCAAAATTATCACTGGAAGATGTTTATTTCAGTTTTATGGAATCAATGTACTGTCTGAAGTCAAACAAACCTGTCCATGATGAGTCCATGAGGAATATAGACTTTTTCCAAATCATCTGCATAATGTTTAGGTATACAGAACAAATCCAGGTCGTAACCTTGTTCATCATCGCCAATCTGCAGAAATAAATAAGGTGAGATTTCTACAAAGCCTTACAGAAAGTCTGTGCTGAGAAACTTCAAGTCTTCCTTTGCTCTATTCAATAAAAACTATCAAACCCATGAGTAAAACCTATCAACCCCACAATGCACATCAGAACCACCTTACATTCCCCTTTCTAAGAACATCAGTCACACTGCAYACAGAATAAAGTGAAATCTAAGAGTTCACAAGGGTTACTTGAAATATCATGAGTTGTTATGCAACGCAATGTGTAAAACAAAGTCCTATAACGGTCTCCTCCACTGGAAAGCAGGAAAGTGAAGTTACTAGACCTCTGTGAAATTCTATATTCCATTAAAAAAATAATCAAGCTTTTTAACCTCATTGATTTTTCTAGTGTAATGCAAAACCTGCATATGCAATTAAGCAAGCAGAGGTTCATGGACACCTTCCAAATCTCCACAACACTCGATCACAACAAAACACACAAACCAGTTTGCAGGACCAGACAAGAGAGCTACATGAGCATAAGATATGCTGCTGTGAAGCAAGTCTACTCCAACCACTGTTTCTGGAACAAGGAGGTTTGAGATCATTCAGAATCTGAAATTAAAGCTTTCAGCAACCTGTTCCACATGGGCAAACTCCCTGTATGAAAAAGCCTGCAACGCTGGCAAGTGCATATTAATTAGGACAAGGGATTAGCATACGTACATAATGATACCAAACACTGCAGACGTACATGGACATACCAAGCAGAGTTGTTCTTGAACCCTAACTCTGCTGCAGCTTGAAAATGACAATGTGTTTTTTTAATTACTTCACTCTCTGGTTATGTAGCTGAACACTACTATGTGAAAAAGAATTTCAGATAGAAAACAGAAGGTTAGTGCTGACAGTTTACCAGGGCAGGCGTTTTAAGTATCCATTTTGGTCACCACTACCCTTGCAGGACTCAATTCTTATTCTGCTGTCTGTGGAAACACTTACKTGCCAGTGATCAGCCCACTGTTTACATGGGGTTTTTGTTTAGSAATCTTTAATGAGTGTTTCATCTGGGGAATTTCATTATTATTTCGCCCTCCCATYCAAAACTGACCCTGTGTGAACGACACACCCATGGTAGCTCATGGTCCCTGCAGTCCACAGCAGGCTCCTATTTTAAGAAATAAGGCAGGTTCCTCCCAAAACTYATGGTGTTTCTCTTTGGTCAGACCCATCATTATATCCAGCGTGTCTACTAAACCTTCCTTTCTGCATGTGGCAGGGAACGAACCCTTCCTACAGGTTTTATCRGGTTTTTTATGGAATGCAGGGATTTACTGTCGCAACCTCGCGGCCGTCACAGCTCTCGGCCATCAAACACCGCACGCACTTCATCAGCACTGGCACCGGCTTTAAAAAGATTAATAAAAAAGAGCATTAAGCGCCTTAGCAGATGCGGCAATTACGCAAAAAAATATAAAGGATGCTGCTCCTGCAGGACCAGACCCAGCGCACACACGTGGGGTTCTCCCGASCGGAGCCTCCCGCACGCCGCCAACAGCAACAGGAATAGGAAGTTGTGCCGCGCCGGGGGAAGTTCTTCCACCTTCGCTCCGGAGGCGCCAACGCCGGCTGTGCCCGCCGTCCTCGGGCTCCGGATCCCCCCGGATCCCACCSCGAGGGACCCGCAGCCGCTGCGGGAAGGGACGCGCCCGGCCGGGGACGGCGAGGGCAGGGACGGGCAGGGACGAGCAGCCCCGGGCCCGGCGCCGGGAGGCCGGGGCTGCCCTCAAGGTGACTCCGCGGGGCGGCGGCTCCCRGCGCCGAGGGACGCCACACGCCACACGATACGACACGCCACGCCACGACACCCCCCGCCTTTCCTCACAGATCACCGTACTCCGGGGGGCAGGCGGGGGACAGCGGCCCCGGCGCCCGGCATCCCCCGTCCCGCGGGCGGTAGCCCCGCACTCACCACGATGCAGGGGCTGGGGGTCGCCATGGAGCGCGGCCCCGCCGGCGGCGGCTGCGGGCGGCTCGGAGCGGCGGGAGCGGGCGCTGGGAGCGAGAGCAGCGGCGRCAGCAGCGGCGGCGGGCGGTGGGAGCGGGAGGCACCGCGCCCGCAGCGGCCCCGGCGCCGCCTCCGCGCCCTCCGCGCTCCCCGCCCTCAACATGGCTGCGGCGGAGCCGCCCTCAGTACATCGGTGCGGCGGCGCCGGCGACAGGGGCGGGGGACAGGGGACACTGGACCGGAGCCGTGCTCTCGGCGGGGCTGGTCCCATCCCAGCACGGTGCAGATGTCCCCGCACTCGCCCACGTCCCCAGTGCTGCGTCTCGACCCTCCCCTCCACAGCACGATGTGCGTTCCCCTCAGGATAAGATGGGAAAGTGACACTGCCGTGTCCAGTTCTGGGCCCCTCSGYTCGGGAAGGACATTGAGGGGCTGCAGCGGGTCCAGAGAAGGGCAGCAGAGCTGGGGAAGGGTCTGSAGCACAAGTCTGAYGAAAAGCCCTTGAGGGAACTGGGGATGTTTGCCCTGGAGGCTCAGAGGAATTTCATCGCTGCGCTGCCCGACGGGAGGGTGCAGCCAGAGGGTGTCAGGCTCTGCTCCCAGGGAAACAGCGACAGCACAAGGGGACATCGGCTTAAGGGAAGGTTTAGGTTGGACAACAGAAGAAATTTCTTCACAGAAGGGGTGATTAGACATTGCCCAGGGAGGTGGTGGAGTCACYRTCCCTGGAGGGTTTAAGCAAAGGCTGGATGTGGCACTCGGTGCCATGGTGTGGCTAACAAGGTGGTGTTGGACTCGATGATCTCGGAGTTTTTTTCCAACMTCACTAATTCTGTGCTTCTGTGACTCTTATGTCCAGGGGTAACAGGGTGGGTAACTGTTGTCATTCCAGAACCAGGGACAGGGATGCCCATCCATCAGGTGTTCATGTCCATGGAGGGGCTCTGCAGACAGACAGGTAAAATAGTAAAAAAGCATGGATAGTTCCAGTGGTCTCAAATGGGAGAAAGAAAAAAAGAGTGTCAACTTTTCCTGTAGGTGTGGAGTTAAGGACAATACAACAGTGCAAATGGAAATTCCTGATTTCTTGTATTATGTAGCAGCTGAAGATTTTCCCCTTCTTTCTCTAGGGGGTGGAAACCAAGTTTTATTTTATGCTGCACAAAATCTTGGTGTCAAGAAAAGGATAATGATTCTTAAAAATAACTTTATTCATAAAGAGCTTTAGCAATCACCCTCTGATATACATCTAGCATTATTACAGTTGGCTCAGAAAACACGATGAAAKCAAATTAAGTGTTCCTTTATACAAAACAACCAATTTAAGCAAATTTTAACTAAGCAAATGAGCRCAATCCCTAGTGAGCGCTGCATTGTTACAGTCTGGGCGGGTTAACTGTGGAGTGGGAGGAAGGAACCTTTATCGAGTTGCCTGGAGCAGCAGAATGAAACACRCCCTGCAGCTGAGGGATATCAGGAACTGTCATAGCTGGACTATTTCCAGAAAGCCGGGAAGAACAGCTGCCCTGTCAAGCTCAGGGAGAGCCTGGCATTAGTGARCAGTGGGCAGTATTTGTGGAGACACTGTGCAAACTCAGAAGAATTACAAGATCTGATTTTAGTCACTGAACACGTYTCATTAATAACCAATAATCAATGTCTGCCATTAAAAGTAGCATCCAACAGCACCTTTCTGATGGCACGCAAGAGTTGTTGGCTTGACTTCCAAGTGRTTTCTCCCCAGCAAACAAAACTGTTAGTCCTGTTTTGCCCTTCTGGGTGAGCAATTTCTTTGTTCCTCCTGCCAAACAGCACATTCCTGGATCCAAAGCATTCCTGGTCTTGCTGGCATCCCACTATGGAGGGAAAAACAGATTTACAAAAGCAGAAGTATTTGCTGATATTACAGGGGGCTGGTTAGCTGAGATCAGCACCGTATTTAGTAGATGACCGGTTTTGCTCTTGCTGATATGAGGCCACTGAGGCTTGCAGGGCAGGGTGAGATACCTGGGAGCTGCCCATTTTCTGTCTGGATGATGCAAAAGGTGGGAAAGCCAAAGTTTTTATTTCTCTGGTCTACCCAGCTTTTTACAAGGCAAAATAATGTAATAAATGCGCAGAGCATTTTGTTTCTGAGCAGACTCTTGACTTCGTAATTATTTTGTCCTCTGTTGCCAGCCAGGCGTATCTCAGGGCTCAGGCCCAGTGAACCATGGCCCGTGTGAGCACTAATTGTAAATAATTTTGTTAACAGAACTTCAAAAAGCCTTTCTTGGTAATCACATGTCCCCACTGGTGGGTACCTAGAGGTAACAACTGAGCATTCATCTTTTGGAAGCACCTGAAGTGGTGTGCTCTGGGTCAGACCTTCAGGTCAGTGCTCATTCTGACCAATCCCCCCCTCTTCTCCCYGTTTTTCCCTCCCAGCTTTGCCATTGCTGCTGGGTGACTCACAGGGAATTAGCAGAATTTATYTGCTGGTTTTGTTTGACAAAACAAATCTCCTAAAAAAAAAGCAAAGAGCACAACGAATTTTCAGCAGATTAACTAGACCAGCAGGATGCCCTTGTGACCAGAAAGTCTGTGCAGACAAAATGGGGGAAAAGGGAGGGTTCCAGAGCCACTAGCCCAGTCCTGAGATGAGCACCACCATTTCTACTCAAGAGGAAAAAACTAAAAAGGAACATCTGATTAAATGATATTGAGAGCATTCACCAGAATGTGACTTTAGCAACAAGCATCCTATCTTCATCATGGCTACAGAGAAATCTCTCCACTCTGGCTAGTAATTTAAATAGCATATAATTATTTTTCTAGCCAAATGTTTCAAATGGGAGAGGGAGCCAGATGTACCAAAACATCATTTAAAAAGAGACACACCCTTCCTAAGAAATAGGGARTAGATGCTGTTCGTTGCAGAATACCTTTGAAAATAATGTTCTTGTTCTCTGTCATGTTGATTCCTGTTTGTTTGTCATCACAGGGATTCTCAGTGGTGACAGTCTCCATGGATTTTGGAAAGTGGTGCCTATCTACTTAGTGGTTTCAAGACTGGGATTTCCTGGATGATGAGAGTTTATCAAGATTTCTCCCCCTGCCCAGCTAATAAGTGACAATTTATTTACCAAAACTAAGATAAGCAAAACCTCTGAACAGATGTACTACTCTAGAACTGTAGRTAACTTCTTTTTATCACTAAAAAGGTTTTCACACACCAGGGTGGAGGCTGGTGGAATTAAAAGACATCTTGCTCTTTATTCAGTAGTGCAAGACAGGGTCAGTGACACAAATATTACACAATTAGTACAAAACACTCAGCAGTGGCTGATCACAAAGTGTCAACCATCCTGAAAAATGTAATCCCGGATTGCAACAGACCGCGCTGCTCTTTGGGCTGGTATTTATGGCATTTATCAGCTTTCGTTTGCAAACATCCATTAAGAATTATCCCAGCAGCTCTGGCTCAGCAGGACCAGACACGCGCCAGTGTCTGTCACAACAGAGCGGAGAGGCTGGCACTTGGCACTGCCCTCACCCCGGGCACCCAGAGCCCTCCCCGATYGGAGTGACCCAGGGCCAGCCCGCTGCCCAGAGCCAGCTCACCCTGGGACCTGCACAAACTGAAACAAGGATCATTTAAAATGGTCCAAACCAAACAAGCAAAGGCAGATCCCCTAGCTRGGCTCAGCACTGAACCCTGTGCTGGGGGATCTTCTGTCCACGGAGGCACCTGAGACTCTGGGTAGCCCAAACCCCAGCACTGTGGGGTGCACCTTCCTGCCAGCAGCTTTGGAGTCTGGGCTTACTCCTCTCCCTGATCTCTGGAGATCTTGTTCCTTGGGCACAGGAGAACTGTGAAGCTTTCGGATGGAGAGGAAGGCACACCTGAAATCCAGAGACCTGCCCAARGGATATTATGTTTGCTTGAACCTGTTCTGATACAAGGGTTGAAGCCTGAGCAGTGTAACTACCAGSAAAGTATTTATTTTTCTTTCTTTTGTTGGTAGTGGCTGTTTTCCRAGCTCAGCTTGACTCACTGGACARTGYRGCCTGATGGAGCTGCTGAGTAAGAAAATAAGGCTTTTTAACACAACCATAACTCAGTGCATGCTGCAGAGCCACTTTCAGAGCTGCTGCATCAACCCTTTGCTGCACGAGCACCATCACTGCTGCCACACGAGGGGAACACCAGTGTTTATCAGCCACTGTAACGTGGCGCTGTAAGCCCCGAGCGAGGACACGCTAAAGCCCAGGCTGACCTCCTTCCACTCCTCCCACACCTCCAYTGACTGCACGCACGGCCCTTCCCACCCTCCAGGAGTCACCTGAGGTCCCCAGCAGTCCCCTGCAACCACAAAAAGCAGGGCCATGGCAGTTACAAAAATCAATTTCCTTCATTCGCTGTGCAGCAAGAAATACTGAGAAGTAAATTTTGTCCAAGGGAACCTCTTCTTCTCCCCTCATTCAGCAGCACTTGTATCAACAAGATGCCTGGGTGACTCAAAAGCTTCTGTGCCACACATTTCAGKGTAAACCCTACCAAAATTAATGTGACTGCTGGCACCCACATTACCCGACTGATTTTCTCAAAATTAAATGGTCTCTGGGAGCACAGGAGAGGAGAGATGTCCACATTGCTACATGCACGTGCGGCAAACTCCCAGGGCACACAAGAGTAAAAGGACTTCTGGGAGATGGGCTGTGCTGGGAAGTTCTCTTGCTAAAGTCCAGCTGCTTATTTTAGCCAACAATTTAGTTAACACAGCCTTAATATTTTCAGTCACGGCTCAGCTGRAGGCACAAAGCAAGAAACCAAGGGAACCCTGCAGCAGGACTTCAGCCTGGGGTGACTGCGCTGGAAGCTCATTCATGCACACACTTTCCACTGAAGCCTGAGGGAAGGCTGYTCTGCTCCAAATGCAGGTGCTTGGTGCTGGCAAATCCTCCCACTAGGGAAGGGGGATTGAGAGAGGACTGAGTTTTGAGATTCTCCCCCTTGCTCAGTTGCTTTTGGAGAAGTAAACAGGTTAATGTGCTTTGACCAGGCACCTGAGTACAGGAGCTGCCTGCAAATCCCAGGAGCATTTCTAAAAA